AATTGTTTCTTTAACAAATGGTACTGGTTAAACTGGATAACCAAATGCAAAAGAATGAAGCTGAACCACTACCTTACTTCATATACAAAAATTAAATCAATATGGATCAACAACTCAAATATAAAAGCTGAAACTATAAAATCCATAGAAAAAAACATAGGGGTAAATCCTCATGACCTCAAATTTGGCAATGGATTCCTAGATTTAATACCAAAGCACAAGCAACAAAAGAAAAAATAGATAAGGTGGACCATCAAAATTAAAACTATTTTACAGCAAAAAACATTATCAAGAATGTGAAAATACAATCTATAGAATAGGAGAAAACATTTGCAAATCACTTATACAATATGGGTTTCACATCCAGAATACAATGAAACACTGTCACAGGGGTGCCTAGGTGGCACAGTTGGATAGAAGTCTGGCTCTCAGTTTCAGCTCTGGTTGTGATCTCAGGGTCTTGGGATCGAGCCCCATGTCGAGTTCCATCCTCAACATGGAGTCTGCTTGAGACTCTCTCCTTCTCCCCCTGCCCGCCCCCCCCGCACAAGCATGCTCTTTCTTTCAAATGAATAAATCTTAAAAAAATCCTCACAATAATAAAAATAATATAGTAAATGGACAAAATATTTAAACAATATATAAATAATAAAAAGACAACCCAATTTTTTTAAATAGGCAAAGGATTTGAATAACTATTTCTTAAAAGATGCAAATAGCCAACAGCCACATGAGCTACACCACTGGTCATTAGGGAAATATAAATCAAAACCACAGTAAGATACCACTTCACACCCAGTAGGGTGGTTTTAATCAAGAAAACAGAAAATTACAAGTTGGCAAGGATGTTGAGAAATAATCATTGCCATATGGTGCTAGTGGGAATGTAAAATGGCACAGGTACTTCAGAAAACAGCTGTCAGTTCCTCAAAATGCCAAACACAGAATTATCATATGACTCAGCAATTCTCCTCCTGGGTATACACCAAAGAGAAGACAAGACACAGGTCCACACAGAAAACTACACACAAATGCTCACAATAGTATTAGTTATAATAGGAAAAAGCACAAATGTCCATACAAATGTCCATCAACAGATGAATAGCCAAACCAATCATAATATATGAATATACTGGAAAAGTATTCAATCATAAAAAGGAATGAATTACTGATACATGCTACAACTTGTATGAACCTTGACATTACACTAAGTGAAAGAAGTCAGACACTAGAGGTCATGTATTACAGGATTCTTTTTGTATATAACATGTATAATATATCAAGAATATGAAAATCCACAGAAAGCAGAGTAGAGGTTACCAGGGGATGGGAGACAAGGAGTGGGGAGTGTCTACTTAATAAGTACAGATGTTTTTATTGGGTGATGAAAGGTTTTGAAATTAGAGAGAGCTGGTGGTTGCATAACATTCTGAATACACTACCACTAAATTATACACTTTAAAATGGTTAACTCTATGTCATGTAAATTTCACTTCAACTAAAAAAGAAGAGAACACTTCGGAACAAATTTAATAAAGTGCAAGACTTGTAAACTAAAAACTGTAAGATATCATTGAAAGAAAGTTAAAGACCTACATAAGTGGAAAGATGTCCCATGTTCATGGACTGAAATTTGTAATATTTTTGAGATGGCTACCCCCAAAACTGATCTACAGACCAAGTCCCTATTAAAATCCCCATTGGCTTTTTTGGACAGAAATCGGCAAGCTGATTCTAGAATTCATAGGGACATATTTGCAAGTGACTCAAAACAGCCAAAACGATCTTGAAAAAGAACATAAAATAGAGTTAAAGAACTCACAATTTCACAATATTTACTACAAAGCTACAGTAATCAAGATGGTGCGGTGCTGGCATAGTAGGGCAGACATATAAAGGAATGGAATAGAATGGAGAATCTGGAAATAAACTCATCTGTCTATAATCAACTGTTTTTCAATAATTCTGCCAAGACCAATCAATGGGAAAGAAAAGTCTTTTATGACAAGTAACCATGGATTAGGCAGTGCTTTCTTAGACACCAAAAGTACAACAAAAGAAAAAACAGATAAATTGGGCTTCATCAAAATAAAAACTTTTGTACTTTAAAAGAAGCCATCAAGAAAGTGAAAACAATAGTGTCTAATATCCAAAGAACTCTTACAACTCAATAATAGAAGGACAAATAACCCAACTCAAAAATGGGCAAACAATGTGAACAGATATTTCTTGAAAGAAGATACATAAATGGCCAATAACCACAGGAAATGATGTTCAACGTCATTAGTCATTAGAGAAATGAAAGTTGAAAGCACAATGAGATCTAACTTCACACCCACCAAGATGGTTATAATCAAGAAGACAATAAATAACATGGTGAGGATGTGGAGAAACTGGAATTCTCATTCATTGTCAGTGGGAAGGTATACTGTACAGCTCCTTTGGAAAATAGTTTGTTAATTACTCAAACAGAGAATTACCTTATGACTTAGTGATTCTAGGCCTAGAATTATACCCAAAAGAAATGAAAACTTATCACTCAAAAACTTGTACATGAAAGCTTATAGCAGCTTTATTCATAATAGTCAAAAAGTGAAAACAAACCAAATGTCTGTCAACTAATGAATGCATAAGCAAAATGTGGCATATCCACAAACTAAAATAGTATTTGTAAACAAAAGGAATGATGTACTGAGACATGCTACAATATGAACTCTGAAAACATTATACTAAGTGAAAGAAGCCAAAACACAATAGGCCATATACTGTGTGATTCCATGTATGCCAAGTGTCCAGAATAGTCAAATCCACAGAGATATAAAATAGAGTAGTGGTTGCCTAGGCCTGAGAGGGAGGAGAGAATGAGGAGTGACTGAGTACAGGAGCATATTCTTTTGGGGGTGATGAAAATCTCTGGCAGTAGATAGAGATGATGGTTGTACCACCTTGTGAATATACTAAAACCACTGAAATACACACTGTAAGGGTGAAATTTATAATAAGTGAATTATATCTCAATAGAAAAAAAAGTAGGTAAAGAATTTACTGCAGAGAAACAGTATTATATGAATTGGAGCTTGGGGAGGGCAGTATTTTAGTATATAAAAACACTCCGTAATGTGTAAAAAATACTATCAAGTAGACGAGATTTAGAGGTAGGTTAACTGGAAGATTCTAATTCAGACATTATATACCAGGATGAAATCTCCTCAGATTTTTAAACCTACATTTTAGGGAAGAAAATATGACCCTGAAGTGAAGACTTTCTATCACTAAATTGGTCTTTGGCTACAACTCTTACTCAAATCTCGGCATCGTGACGATGTTTGTATACGCAATCAATTCTATGGGGAAAACCATAAATCTGGGTTGAGTTCCGTTGTTCCTTTACTGACTTTATGAACTAAATAGTCTCCTACACCATCAAGCAGAGCCTTAATTAAAGCCTTGGCCTTATCTGGGGTATGGGAGATTTGCCCCCTCGCTCCTCAGTTCATGTTAGTGATGGAAAGATTCTGGACATACAATTCTTAAAAAAGTGCCACACTATTTCCAGACTGACACAGCACCAGGAGACAAGGTGATGAACCAGTGGTTAACCACTGACTGTATCCATGAAGTGTAGTAAGAATAACCTGCAGGTAGCAGAGAAGTTTTTCCACTAGAGGAAAATGGGAAACAGAGTGTGCTGGACCTCCAGACACACCAATTCAAACCACATATTCTGAGATCTGACAAACATTTCACCTCATCTTGAAAAACATTATTCTAAAGTTAGCTTTAGCCAGTTTTATAGAAAAATAGCATAAACAACTCTAAATTTGCATATCAAAATCAAATTTGAGAAGATGTTATATATTTTATAAAAACTTTTCTAGATTAATTGGATAGTTTAAATAGGTTGTGTTTTTTTAAAGTTTGGTTTGATTTAGTTTATTGATTGTTTTAAATTTTTGAATTTTTTTTCACTGAACTCATAAATTTGATGACAAATCCTAATCATTTTTCTGTATTAAGGAAAAAAACATTAAAACATCAAATTTCCAGAATCATTCAAATCAAAACATTAAACATCTGCTCCATTCTAGAATGGCATGTTACATACTCTGTATTTTTTTTAAAGATTTATTTATTTATTTTTCAGAGAGAGCAGGAGCAGGAGAGGCAGATGGAAAGGGGCAGTGGGAGGGGAGAGGGAGAGAGAATCTCAAGCAGACTCCAAGCTGAGTACTGAACCCAACACGGGGCTTGATCCCAACACCCTGAGAACACGACCCGAGCCCAAACCAGGAGGTGGAACCCTCACAGATGCCCCCATACTCTACATTTCTTCCTGCACATTTTTTATTGAAAGAAATCGGTTTCTCCTAGAATACTTATTTTAAAAATGCTAAGCTTAAACAACCACTATATCTAATCAATTTTGAAATTAGAAAACATAAATTTGATACAGAAAGTTTCTAAATACTTAATATTTCTGTAATGAGAAAAAAATATAAATAACTAGAAAGAGTCCCTGCTGTGGTGTTTAGCAGAACCATCAAATTGGTTTGGCGAAGAGGTCTGGTGAGTCTCAAGACTAATGTTTAATTCTCACTCCTTAGATTTCTACATTTCTTCATTTAACTCCAAAGAATAATTAATAAACTTATAATTCAATTCATGGATTAGCATAAGTTATAAGATAGATTATGTAGGTGGAAACAGCTAGCTTTAAATACTGATCTGCAGCAATGGTACGCATTTCATTGGATAAAAATTTTTAGCAACATTTTTTTAAATGGCTGCCTAATACATCTTTATATACCAAGTCCATTTTCATTACGGGAAAGACGAGCAGATTTCAGACATGTGGGTTACTGGGTGATCAAAACAACCTTGCACAGTAATTTTATCATATACTTTGTATTAAAATCTGGTTTGCATAAACAAAAAAATAAGAACAGCCATTGCCACTTACACAGAGATGCCTTCAAAGAAAATGCAGCCAGCCCACTTACCTTGGGGTGCTATCAGAGTTCTTCCATTCTCCTGACACCAACCGACTGGCTGAACATAAGGGCTATTTACATCACACCTGCAAAACAGGATTCTATTTCAGATCCTACACAAGTCAATGCCAGAGAAAGAATCCAAGAGTAATGACCATTCTAGATACTAAGAGACACCATGGAAGATGTAACTACATAGCTAAAATATTTTATAGCTAAATAGAATTAGAAATAATTTTTAGTATTGTGTTTTATAAGCTAAGTGACCAAACTTCTCTTTTACTTAATTTTCTTGAAATTTAAAAGTATTTTCAAAAAGCGTTTGACTAGAACCTGAACTGCCAGTGTTAACCCCAAAGAGTGAACATTTTAATAAGCCTCTCCTACCACTTCTTGCTAACAGCAAGGGAAAATATTAATAGGCTGGCCTAAAGTTTAATGGGACAGACCAGACTCCATCATATGCCTCCAATTTCCTCCTCCTCCCATTCAAGGAACACAGACCATTCTACCTAAGACACACAGAACAATTAATCCATGCTCTGCTTCTTAGTTCAATGAAGAAAACAGGGCCCCCCCATGTACATGAAGAACCGCAGCCTTAGGCAGACACTTGGCGGTTATTCAGGATATACTGTGAGGAAATGCTAAAAAATGATTTTTGCCATTTCCTCTTCCATATTTCAGGTTTTTACCCAGAAAACCTTTTTTAACTCATGCAATGTTAGTTTAATGGTATTGTAGCCTATGTTTTCTCTGCTCCCCACAGGCTTTCAAATAATTCACTCCATTCTCCCTGTGAATCTTCCCTTTCAAAAATACGACAGGCTGAGTTCAACATTTTTCAGAAAAAAAAATACTGCAAGTCCTTAACTTCCTCTTCATAGAAATGCCTCCCTTACAAACTAGACACAACATAGTGAAGTGCCCTGACCTGGTCATATTATTTCAGATGAGGCCTCATTAGGTAACCTCTCATAGAGTGGAGAAGTTTCTTGGGCACTTTAATTCGGCAATTCATGTGGAACACAAGGTAATGAAAAGTCGGCCACTAAATTCCGGATGTTCATTACTCTAAGAACAGCAAGGACAGTGACAGTACCGGAAGGAAAATAAATTCTTAATACCAAGCATGAACACACAAAAATAAAATGCATATTGGTGTCTCACCAGTAATCGTAACTATCATCCCAATTGTCAAAATGCACTAGTAAGCGATCTTCAACAATATCGGCTATGGTTGCCACACACACCAAGGAAGGGTTCTTCCTGTCGACGGCCTCCAGCTTCATTCCAACCTGAAATTCTTTAGGCATTGGCCCATTCTAACACAGCACCAGAGGAAAGAGGCACAAAAAGAAACAGGACACCAAATAGGACTGAGCTGCTGTCAAAACTTCTATGTTTAGCATTAGAACAGTCTACAGGCAACACTTACCCTCCAGAATGAAGCCAGCAAATGCTAGTACAAATATTCCAACAAACTGTTACGAAGTTAAATTCATAACAAAACCCAGGAAACTAGATTTTACCTTGTACTTTTTCGCTTTTGTTGGCAAGTAAGTTATATTTCCCTCATCACTTTCATTTTCCTTTTTCAGTTCTTAGAAGGAATCGTATTAATTTTAAAATATGATGTCTACTGGATAGAGGAGTATCAAATAATTTTCTCTGCTCCCCACAGACTTGTACAGTTTCCAAATACGAGTATTCGGAGAAATAGTAAAGATAGGCTCTTTAGCACCAAATTTATCATTTACTTTGATGAGATCTGAAAACAGCGGCTTTCTCAATATTTAAGAAACACATGCACAAATCTACAAATAAACCTATACTTGAAAAAAATCCAAATGCTTCTTTTAGTATCCATACACATTTTTCATGGTAAAAACAATAAGGACTATGATTTAAAGTAACATTACGATAACAAAACCCCACTTTTTGTACCAGTGTAATTAGCCAGTCCTGGGATTTAGAAAGTATACATACAGTATCTGGGGACTAGAAGACAGTTTTTTCTACCTCTTTACTATCTATACTGAACCCTGCTTTTTGTTTTTCTTTAGCACATCACATCTTTAAAAGCAATTTCCCATTTCTATTACTCTCTTTCCTTGGTACAATTCTATGAAACACACAGAGCAGTTGTATAACATTGATTTCAAGATCAGGGTGATTGTCCTACAAAGGGACACACAGCCAGCAGGTGGCAGGGTAATGCTAGGCTTCCCTGCCCCCTTCTCTGGTGTGTGTCCAGGGGCCCAGAGGAGGCAGGGGCTGCACCTTATTCTCGTTCTCTCCTGAAGAGCTGGTAGGTTGCTGGGGACACAGATGGCAAAACAAATGTGCTCTACCCAAATCTTCATATTCCCCTTGAATCTGTAGGAAATGTCACCCTCATTCTCATTACACATAAATCCAACTAGGCTGGGTTTATTCAAAGCCTACATGTGGTATCTACTAGTGGTCTCAAAACACCAAAGCTAAGTTCAAAAGAGTAACTCACTGGAAGCAAAAAGAAGAAACATTTCCAAAAGGCATTTTAAATTTTAGCAGGATTTAAATATAAAGTCTTCAACTCTCTGCATCTAAATATTAAGTATTAAATTGCACATTTAAAAGTGGGAGAAAGACATGCCTATTGGAAACTGACAAATTAAGTGAGAAAAGTCATAGGAAGCTAAGGATTCTGAAAAAAATACAACGGAATATATAGTGAATTTTAAGAAATGTAAGCTCAAGTAGAAATGTGATTTATACTGAGGAAGAAACTACTTACAGAACTTCTGCTTCTGAATAATTTCTTGGGAGCATTTTGCAATTTGCAGGCCTTCAAATAATCCATCCAAACGAATTTATCTTTTCTATAACCTAAAAAAAGTATGGATTATTCAAAATACCCACAGATATAACCCTGTGCATATTCAATATATTAGCCTTCTTCAGTCTTCTGTCATAAATTCAATGTCCTTTAGCAGACCAAAAATGATTTAAATTAAAATCCCTAAATTGTTTCAATGTTTTTTAATGTATAAAATTCAAAACTGTTGATGTGATTTCCCATCATGCGTATCATTCCCTTACAAATTTTTTAAATTCATTAAGATATAGAATTGGTCCCCTGATGGGAGTCTCATCTCTTAGTAAGGCTTTCCAAAATGGGCAAAGGGAAGAGACAAAAGTTCCTGAGCTCATCATCACTCCTGAAGAAGCCATGTCACTGTGAACATCAGAGGTCCTGATGATGCAACAATCCAGGGTGCCAGGCACTTGGGAAAATTACAGAAACCCCTTCACAATCCAAAGACCATTTGGCAGCAACAGCTTCCTGCTACTTATCTTTGCAGGTTTCCCCTTCTGTACTGATCCTCCCCTCCGTGTGCCCTAAAGTGCTCACACAGTGCTGGCCCAAACAAGAAGGGCTCAATAAATAGTTTCTGGTTGAGTGTTATACAGAATAAAAGTCAGGTTCCTTGCACAGCCTCCAAAGCGAGGGCTACACCTCTAACTTCATCTCCCACCTCTTGCCCTTGCTTCTCTGCTCCAGCCACATTTATCGCCTTGAGATTCCTCAATGGGCCGGGCTGGAGGCTCCTGCCTCAGGGCGTTTACTCTTGCTTTTCTCTCTGACAGCCCTCTGCCCAGCCTCGCTGACTTCCCTCACCCCATCCACCTATCCGTGGGACCTCACATTCTCATGCCCTTCTTCAGCACACTCTCTGTCCCCCACCCCCAACCTTGTCACTGCTTGACACCCTAGCTTACCTTTGTCTATGACTCTTCGCCTCCCTGGAATGAAAGCCCCATGAAGACAGAGATGGTTTATTTTATTCACAGCTCTATCCCCAGTGCCTGCACACAGCAAGGGCCCCATAAAGACCTACTAAAAATGAGCCCGTGACCAGCTTTCATGAAATCCAGCAATCTAAAGGATTCTGCCATTGGTCTCAGGGATGGATCCCCGAAGGACACTCTGAGTTGATCAATAAAATGACTATAGGGTGACTCCCAGAAGTGCCACCGTCATCAAATACTCTAGCATCCAAGTAGGAGCCCATACACAGAAGTTGGCTGTGCAAGGAAATGGGCCCACGGTCATCCTGACTGATCAAATGCTCACCTCACCAGCACACAACAAATAAAAAAGGCTTCAATCACATCTGCCAGGCCCAGGTTCCTCTCACAAATAACAAGAGACAAAGATGAGATTTTTGATTCCCCTCAAAAGGAAGCAGTGAAATCCTCTTCTCCTTCATCGTTACCTCTTTTCCATGATTTGTTTAAAACAAACGATATACAGTGAATCAATTTTCCTCACTATATAGCATCAGTGACTAAGTGAAATAGTTCATTTCAACCGTGATGTAAAATAAGTTTCTTCATTCCTTCTAAGGTTTAATAAACTTTATGTTAAGTCATAAGATTTTATTTCTGCTGTAGGTACCTTATCAGTATATTTGACCTAAGCAGTCATTGATGCTTTTCTTTTTTTTTTTTTTTCAGGTTTTATTTATTTGAGAGAGAGAGACAGAGATAGGAAGAAAAAGCATGAGCAGGGAAGAGAGGGAGAGGGAGAAGCAGGCTCCCCCCTGAGCAGGGAGTCCCACGCAGGACTCCATCCCAGGACCCCCGGATCATGACCTGAGCCGAAGGCAGACGCTTAACCGACTGAGCCACCCAGGCACCCCGATGCTTTTCTTTTAAAGACATTTATTCACTTCTAAAAATGGCATCTTTGTAGTTTTACTGCTTTTGGGGGATTAAACTTTCATTTTGAAAATCAGTTCACACCAGGCTCTCTTGTTAGTATTTCATGAAATGTTGTTAAAATAAAACCAACTCTCTTTCCATCCCAGCTTACCCTTAGGGATGTGCAATTCGTGTTTGGTCTTCTCACACCACCCTACCGGATGAATGTCAGGGGAACCAGCATTGGTCCAAAAATCATAGCAGCTTAAATAACCATCAAAGTGAAGTCTGAGGCGGTAACCACATACCTGTAAAATGGAATGTTTACAATCCTTCATTAAGTGTCATGTGTTTGAAGGGTACACAAAATTAACCAAATATTCATATATCCTGTCAGTACCATCAACGTATATAAACCAACCCTCCCATCTAAATACGCTTGTATTAAAAAGCAAATTTAGAGATGACATCTGAATAAAACAAAATGCCAACAGACACGATCTTTCAAGTATCCAGAACTTTTTCTGTAAAAAAAATTAAGCCTTTTACTCAGTCTACAAATCTGAGATCAATTTACATCTCCATCAGCTGAAGAGTTTATTTGTTCATTCAATACCTGTCAAATATTGCTCTTGGAAACCCCATCTCCTGCTGTCCCACGATAGTATAAGCTAAAGTACAGAGCAAAACCAAAACGGGCATGGCTTCGTTTCAACTCTAACGTATGGATCCAGCATACTCAATAAAGGAAATAATAAAACAGTGTAGAATACATCCTTAAGACATGCTACACAAGTTTAATAGCTATAATCAATCAGTAAATTAAGTGAATAGGGTCTTTTACGTGATGTGATTAAAAATATAGAGGTCTTCCATCATTTTAATAATGTAAAATGTTTAGTAAATATTACATTTTATAAGCCATTTACTTTCATCAATGGCCCTTCATTCTACGTAATTTTCATAAGATGCTTATATTTATATAAATAGGTAATTCATGTGCCGGGATATTTTTCATATACATTTCTCATTACTTCAGCTAATACTTGAATAATTATCTCTTTTAACAGACAAAAGCAACATTGTGGGATTCACTGATTGTTATCAACCTCAGATGAAAACTATTTACCAACTGAATCAAGGGTAACTGCTAGTGATGAGGGACTTATTACAAGATTAATCTTCAGAGAAGGAAAAAATTCATTAAGAAACATATTTCACCCATCACTGACTAAAATAAATCCATGATGTACTGGAACTTGTTTATAATGGAAAGCACTCAAATTCATTATTCTCTAGAAAATTCTCTTCTGTCACTGTGCACTCAGCCCAAGACAATAACACCATCTCTTACCTCAGCTACAGAAAGCACACAGAATACAGATGGATGTCGGGGGTCAATGCCTTCTAATCTCATTCCAACCTGAAAACCATTTTCATGCTCCGGAAAGGATTGGTCCTACGAAATTTCATGATATAACATTAGCTACTGAAATACCTTCACAATTTGATATTAAAACACCTGGTGTTGCTATGCATACAATCAAGAACTTACTGTATGGGCTCGGAAGCTCAGTGATATAGCTAAAGATCGATGGCTGCTTTTCTATATTTGGCCCTCAAAGATGGTTTGATCATTTTGATCATTTTATCATTACCTAGAAAACAGTTCATATGAGAAACTACATGTCCTATGAACTCCCCATTTATTCCTTTTGCCCATTTTTCTTTAGTGATTTTAAGGAGCTCTTCCTGTACTCTGGAAACAATCCTTTGTTGATTATAATGATTACCTATTCCCAGTATGTGAGTTGGCTCTTTGCTTTATGAGGACTTTGTTGTAGAGATTTTTTATTTTAATGTAGTAAAATATATCAATTATTCCCTGTACAGTGTACACATCTAACCTATGAATTCCCTCACAATCCTGAAGTTACACGGACATTCCCCTAGTGTTCTTTTAAAACGTCTGTTCTTCATATTTAAATCTACAATGCAACTGGAATTAATTTTGTTCTATGGTGTGAGCTAAGATCTATTTTTTTATATGGAAAACAGAGTATTCAACAAAATTTTTTGTATAGTCCATACTTTCATTATCGGCAAAGTTACCTCTGTTATATCATGTTTCTACAAATTTGTGGGTATACTTCTGGCCTTTCTATTCTGTTCCCTGGTGTTATTTGCCTATATCACATTGTCTTATTTGCTTATGACTCTATGTGGAGAGCAATCTTTATCATATTGAGTTTTCTAATTCAGGAACTTTCTCCCTCTCCATTTAATCTAATCATTTTGTTTCTCCAAATGTTTTTAAAATTTTCAAATCGACATATGTCATTAAAATTTTCAAATAGGCTTCAGAAATGCTTTATATTTCTTTTTTTTAATTTTTTATTGTTATGTTAATCACCATACACTAATCATTAGTTTTTGATGTAGTGTTCCATGATTCATTGTTTGTGCATAACACCCAGTGCTCCATGCAGAACGTGCCCTCTTTAATAGCCATCACCAGCCTAATCCATCCTCCCACCCCCGCCCCTCTAGAACCCTCAGTTTGTTTTTCAGAGTCCATCGTCTCTCATGGTTCATCTCCCCCTCCGATTTCCACCCTTCATTCCTCCCCTCCTGCTATCTTCTTCTTCTTCTTCTTCTTCTTTTTTTTAACATATATTGCATTATTTGTTTCAGAGGTACAGATCTGTGATTCAACAGTCTTGGACAGTTCACAGCCCTCACCATAGTACATACCCTCCCCAATGTCTATCACCCAGCCACCCCATCCCTTCCACCCCCCCACCACTCCAGCAACCCTCAGTTTGTTTCCTGAAATTAAGAATTCCTCATATCAGTGAGGTTATAGGATACATGTCTTTCTCTGATTGACTTATTTCGCTCAGTGTAACACCCTCCAGTTCCATCCACATTGTTGCAAATGGCAAGATCTCATTCCTTTTGATGGCTGCATAATATTCCATTGTATGTATATATAAACCACATCTTCTTTATCCATTCATCTGTCAATGGACATCTTGGCTCTTTCCACAGTTTGGCTATTGTAGACAATGCTGCTATAAACATCAGGGTGCACGTACCCCTTCAGATCCCTACATTTGTATCTTTGGGGTAAATACCCAGTAGTGCAATTGCTGGATCGTATGGTAGCTCTATTTTCAACTTTTTGAGGAACCTCCATACTGTCTTCCAGAGTGGCTGCACCAGCTTGCATTCCCACCAACAGCGTAGGAGGGTTCCCCTTTCTCCACATCCCCGCCAACATCTGTTGTTTCCTGACTTGTTGATTTTAGCCATTCTGACGGGTGTGAGGTGGTATCTCATTGAGGTTTGGATTTGGATTTCCCTGATGCCGAGCGATGTTGAGCACTTTTTCATGTGTCTGCTGGCCATTTGGATATCTTCTCTGGAAAAATGTCTGTTCATGTCTTCTGCCCATTTCTTGATTGGATTATTTGTTCTTTGGGTGTTGAGTTCGATACATTTTTTATAGATTTTGGATACTTTGATCAAAACTCTTCAGAGTATACGCATAGAGGGTACATACCTCAATACCATAAAAGCCATCCATGAAAAACCTACAGCGAATATCATTCTCAATGGGGAAAACCCGAGAGCTTTCCCCCGAAGGTCAGAAATGCGGCAGGGATGGCATCCACTATCACCACTGCTATTCAACATAATATTAGAAGTCCCAGCCACAGCAATCAGACAACAAAAAGAAATAAAAGGCATCCGAATCGGCAAAGAAGAAGTCAAACTCTCACTGTTTGCAGATGATATGATACTTTATGTGGAAAACCCAAAAGACTCCACCCCAAGACTGCTAGAACTCATACAGGAATTCAGTCAAGTGGCAGGATATAAAATCAATGCACAGAAATCAGTGGCATTCCTATACACCACCACCAAGACAGAAGAGACAGAATTTAAGAAGTCGATCCCATTTACAATTGCACCCAAAACCATAAGATACCTAGAAATAAATCTAACCAAAGAGGCAAAGGATCTGTACTCAGAAAACTATAAAATACTCATGAAAGAAATTGAAGAAGACCCAAAGAAATGGAAAAACGTTCCATGATCATGGATTGGAAGAACATTGTGAAGATGTCAATGCTACCTAGAGCAATCTACACATTCAA